GGATAAGGGGGCTTTACATTGTTTCCATCCCCTCCTCTGAGGGGTAGAAGCAGTTCCTCTTCAATTATATGGTCAACATCATATGATGGGGCCCAAAGTCCATGTAGATGTCTCAGAAAGAGTCTTGACCCAATATGCAAATTATCTAATGAAATAAATTGAACCTAACATGACTTGGTCTTTCAAACAAAAATACTCCAGGGTAAGAGCATGAGGGGTTTGTCAGGCATTTGTCAGTTCCTCTCTCTTCCTCTCTGCGTAGCATCTTTGCAACCACATACCCAATGTTTTAGTTGACAAATCCTCTGGACTGATTTTCCTTTCAGTAATAAGCGCACTTTCCAAGACTGAATAAAAGATTTTGTACAACCAGCACTTTATACATATTTTGATCTTTCACATTACACAACCTGTTTTAAAGAGCACATCACATGGGCGATTTTTATGATGCAAAAATAAATTATGTGGCCAATTAAAAACCTCACAAGTACAAAGATGATGTCAGCATAACTTGTGTTCAGTCAATTATGTCACAGTTTCAAGTATCTGAATATTTGACAACATATTGACTACATAGACGTGTATCTTCTCCTAGTTTGACATATCATGGTCATGCTGTATTCCAGAGGAACCCAACATGAATTACTAAATCAAAAACACAGTCTATCCAGTTCAGGGTTTGATCTCAAATGGTGACACTGGGAGAGGCTGCATAGGAGCCTGGGAACTTCGTTTGAAGTCTAAAGTCACCCCCTCCAACATCACTTCAACCCAAAATGCATTGATGATGTTTCACGCTTTATACTTACCTGTGTAATAACAGATCAAGCCTAAAATAGGAGGATATGTAGAGGAAAAAAACCAAAGAAATGATGTGGAATTATGCCACAGATTTAGCACGCAGTCCACTGAACAAAGACAAACTTTCCCATGGAGGAACAGGGGCTGTGTGCATACAAATGCAGTTAAATCAAACAGAATTACATTTTGGGGTTTCAGCTGATTCACTGCTGCTTATCTCCAAAGCCACAGGATGGCAATAGAGAAATTTCTGTTGTGCAACTGTTGTCCAAATGGTTTCATGGAAAAAAGGGGGGGCCAAATGCTTTGGTTCTAGTCCAGTTTGCCTGAGACCTGGGCATCCTTGTGCTTTAGGGAAGCCCGTGCTCATTCTGGCTTCAAATGTACACAGCCATGGTCTTTCATGATCTGACTCTATCCTTTCAGCCTCCACTCCCCCTACACTGGCAATAACCCCTCCCCTCCTCTGATCTATGGCCTTTTTAAAAATAACTTTTAAAAATATTCATCAGAGATCTACCAGGAGCCAAGAACTGTTCTTTGTCCTGGAGTTACAAGAGAGCTAGAAACAGAAAAAAGATCACTTGTCCATGGGGACACATTCCAGTGAAGGAACACTGACACTACACAAACACATGTAGAGGGCATGTGACAGAGATGGCCTTCTGTCCATCAGCATTCCCAGAGTGAAGCTGTCACTGGCAGGGGCCTAGACAGGAACTACATTTCCTGGAATATCCTTGGGGGATTTTGAGCAGCAAGGTGACAAGGTACTGTTTACACTGTAAGAGGATCACTCTGGATTTTGAGTTGAAAGTATGCTGTGCAGGGTTGGAGAGAGCAAAAGTGAAAGAGGTTAGGAGGCTGCTGCAGAAATCCAGGTGAGAAACACTGGTGGCTTCCACCAGGGTGGTGGCAGAGGAGGTGACAAGAAATGGTCACATCTTGAATATTTACTGAAGATACAGTTCAGAGGAATTAGCAATGAATTATATGAGGTGTGAGAAAAAGTGAGGAGCAGGTCTGGGGCTACAGAGCAGCAATTCCAAGTTTGAGGTACATCTTGATGATTCCAATGGAAACATGAGGCAGACACTTTTGAGCATAGAATTCAGTAGAGAGATCCAGGCTGGAGAAAAAAACAAACTCATCAGCATATTGTGGTCTTTAAATCTAAGAGACTTGATAAACTCTTTACTAGATGAGCTCATTTCTCTTTTACATTCATTTCTTAGATGTGATGTAGATAGAGAAAAGAAAAAGTCCAGGGACTGAGCGCTGAGGTCCTCCATTATTTGGCAATTGGTGGGAAGAAGATGGAGTAAAGAGATTGAAGAGAAGCAGCCCATGAAAAAGAGAAAAATACCAGGAGACTTTGGGTCCCAGATGGAAAAAAAGTGTTTCAAGGAGAAGGGATGATGAATTACATCAAATAGTGTTGACAGTTAAGTAAAATGAAGACTAAATCTTCACATGGATTTAGCAATGTGCAGATTTTGATTGGAGATGATAACAGCAATTTCAGAGAAGTGATTGGGGGAGATATCTGATTAGCATAGGGCTAACAAAGAATGGAAATAAGAGGACTAGAATCAATAAGTAAAGACGAACTTCCTTGTAAAGGGGAGCAGAAAAATGGGACAGTCTTTATGGATGTGAGGTCAAGAGAGAGTCAACATTTTTTATGGTGGGAGATATTACAATATGTTTCATGTTGATGGAGATGATTCAGTAGAGAGGGGGAAATCGGTGGTGGAGTAAAAGAACAAAAAATTTCCCAGAATTGTGTCCTTGAAGGAGGGGAGGAAATATGCACAGTAAAGGAGCTAGCTTTTGACAGGAGTGGAGTTGACAGCTGGTCCTTAACAGTATGGACAGGCTAGTGGGCAGATGTGATCTGGGACCACGTGGAAGTCTCTCCTGATTGCTTGAAATGAAAATAAGCTGTCAAATGAGAGTGAGGATGGGGGTATGGCTACTCTAGAAGAAAGCAGAATATATAAAGTGGTCATTTAGGAGAGTGGGGGAGTGAACAAACTAGGAAAATGTAGTAGCACAGCCTGGCTAGACTGAGCTCCCGGAAGTTCAGTAGTGCCAACAGAGACCAGAGCCCATGGCCCTGAGTTTCTCTCCAGCCAAGAGAAGCTGTTTAACTGTAGGGTGAAGTAGGTTGAGTTAGAGCAAACCAGGGGTGAGGGTCACTGGCTCCCACGTCAAAGTTAGAGAAGGGCAGAGGCTGAGAGTCTATACCAGGAAATGATGCTGATGGTGGTTCATGGGTTTAGTTTGGGCCACGGAGGACAAGGTGTGAGGCACAGAGAAAAGCTGGGGAGGGGTTGATGGATTCCTGGCCCTGGTGTGATCAAAGAATTATCGAAGTCAAGGTCCTAAAGGGAGCAATCTGGAAGCATCTAACCTGGGCTGGAGGCAGTGTGGCTGGCAAGGAGACAACCCTCTCCGACTGCTTACCATTCCCTGAAGTTCAGGGCATTTCAAACTACCTTTAAACTTGTTCTTGCTGTTCCTTCTTGCTGGCATAATTTTGAATCTCCTCTTGGGCTCTTACTCATGCTTCAGGACCCAGATCGGATGCTGCCTCCTCATGCAGCTTCACCTGATCCTGCAAGTCAAGATAGTTGTCTCACCACTGTGTTCCCATGAAGTGTTTTGCTCCCCTCTCGCAGGAAGCCCATCACAGTGTACCATCATTGCCTGTTTACCAGTCTGACTCCCCGTAGCATGTGATCTTGAAGAGTCAGGATAATATTCTCCTCACCTCCCCATTCCCAATTTACAGCTGAGAGGCTGGCTCCTAATAGTCTATAATCACCACCTCTCCGGGGGCTGCTGGCACTCCTGTCTTATTCTAATCCATTTTCCAGACTCCAGTCAAAGTGATTTTCTTAAAAGTGTAAATCAGATCATGTTATTCCCCACTTAAAACCCTTAATAGACTTTCCAATTGCTCTAAAGATAAAGACCAAATTCTTTCCATGGCATATATAGCCCTGCCCTGCAGGACTTGGCGTGGACTTACCTCTCCGGTGCCACTGCTGCCCAGTTTCCCTCTGCCCTTGACCCTCTAGTAACCTTGGCCTCTTAGTGTTTCCATAGTGCCATGTTTCTCCCAGAAATCCAGCTCTTCTCTTTCCCTCAGTCCGGCGAACACTCTTCCCACCCTTTAGATGTGAGTTCAAATATCACCTCCTCCGGGATGCCTTCCCTGACTTCACGCCATGTGGGGCTGACTTATCACACACTCTCAGAGCACCCTCACTTTTTCTCATTGCACTTGTAGCGTTTGTAATCACATAGTCACGTTCCTGGTTATCTAGATGAAGGCTCTCTCCCACTCGAGCCCAGAAGGCCCCCGAAAATGGAGACCATCACATAGCTTTGCTCGTTACTGTTCACAGCACCTACCACCACGTCCGACTCATAAAACTACTTTGTAAATATTTCTTCACTGAGTGAATTTATTAAATTAATAAGTTGATGGATCTAAAGGGTTACTTAGTAGTCTGTAAAATATAAGCAATTCAGTTCCCTCAAATGCTTATATTCCCTGCACCAAAAGAGAACATACACACACACACACACACACACAGAAGCTTAAAGAGTTTTCACACATATCTTTAAAATACATAACCAGACATGTCAGGTTGTGGTTTGTAGCTTCAAGCTGCACCTAATCATTAAAATGCAGATAATGTGTATATGCTAAACCAAGGTCTATTCCCTCTTGAACATGAGTTATCAGGAAATCTTGCTGCACTGAATATTTCAGAGTGCACCTCAGGGCTAGAATCAATGCTCATTGGAGTTTCCCTGCATAAAAGGTAGTCAAGATAATGAAAGGCAAGTGTGTGTACTTTCGTATGCGTGGATTCAGTTAAGAGTCAATTCTTAACCCCATTCCATAAAGTGGAAAGTGGACTCTAGCTGTCTCCTTGCCATATCTTAATGGAATTTTTCAGACCACAAGCACTAGTGTGGGAAAAAAAAATAGTCTCTTTAGGGAAAACCCCCCTTTAGTTCACTTTTTCTCTTACATACTAGAGAAAAACATATGTAAATGTACAAAAGAGGCAAAAATAATAGGCTTATATAACTAAATACGTATATTTCTCTTTTTTTAAGTTGGTTTTCAATTAAGGAAACCAGAGTACAAGAATTCCTTAAACTGCTTTTTATTAAAAAAAAAAAAAGAAAAAAGAAAAAAGATTTCCTAGGAATGCTTTGGAGCAGTATTTTAGCTTTTATAATAGAAAATTTTAAACAAAAGTAAAGATCATATAATTAACCCCCTTTATCTACCATCAAGCTTCAAAAATTGTCGATATTCTGCAGGTGTTCTTTCCTCCAAAGAAATTTCAGGAGCGTGTAACACACGTTAAAATCAAGGAGCTGTTCAGCAGTTTCACCAGACAATCTCCTCACTGATTTTCCTCCCCTCCACCCGTAGCACTTCACCAACCCAGCGAGAGATGACCTGATTTTTGTGACACAGGATGAACTGCACGTACTGCCATCACCATGGCAAATGACAGAGGATTTTTCAGTGCCCTGCTCAAGAGGACACCCTAGTTAGAACAGCTCCAAAAGAATCCCTCTCTTTAGGACGAGGCTCATACCAGAGTGAATACACTCAAGATCAATTTCAGAAACTGACGTGTGACTCAGAGATTGACACAGTCATGCTCGTGACTCATAATCTCCCTTTTTGCACAGGCTGCTTTACAAATCCATGCAAAATGTAGTTCAGTTGCAGCTATTAAAATTTACAATTATACTTCTTTCTTTATGAGGCTGGCTTTGAACCTGCATTGGTAATGTTACTTGTTTTTATGTTCAAAGAGCAGTCTAATTCTTTTTCTACTTTGTCTTGTATTTTAGAAATTACTCTGAACCTGGCTATCATCCTGATTTTCCAATAGCTTTTGGCTAAGCACATGAAAAATTTGGCTTGACTAAAGGAAGACAGAAATGAATATTTGAATCACCCAGCATTAAAGTAACCCAGGGAGTAAATAGAGTTTCTGCATTGTTCCCAGGGAAAGGAGAAGTTTGGGGGGCCTTATCTTGAACTTCATCTAAGAACCATGATAAAAATCGGTCCTGCTCTGAACTTGAAGTCCACAGCCACCAATGGCTTTGCACCCTGCATTTGGACTCCTAACGACTGAGCTCGCTGGCAGGAACAAAGCCTCTGAGCTGCTGTAAGACAGGATTGTATCTCAGACCCTACACTCTCCCAGCCTCCAACGCCTCCGTTAGATTAAATATATCTGCAAAGATGACCTGCGCTGATTTCCACTTAGACATACCGCCATTTGAGACTATGACACCTGCTTTGCTTAAGGTGGGCATGTCCTTATCTACTAGAAAGTGTGGATCTGATATCCACTCTTTTGAGTTGCTGTCCAAATTTTCTTCTTTGTTAAATCCTTACCACACCCAGAGCTGAGACTATCACCCCTAGAAGTCTCCCTGGGCTTTGCAGACAGGGCCGATTCCATCAGCACCTTAGTCTGAAATAACAGGAGGCTCAGAAAGTCCTCAGTCCTACTAAGGGCCCTTCTAACCTCTGCTTGTTTAGTCATTCAGTCAATGGTAATACGTTCAAGGCACTACAGGTTAGCGTTCTCCACCTGACTTCCCATCAGTAACAAGTCCTCTTTCCCATGGACCTTTTCTTGACACCTAGCTCCAACATTCTTCTTGTAGTCTTCTGAGTGACACCCGGGCAGTGCCACTTTGTCTAGAAGATAATATTTCAAATAGATGGCTGTTTCTATTCCAGACATTTCTAACTCATCAAGTATAAAGCTGAAGAAATGACACCTGAGGTGGCAGGTGTCCCCTCCAAGCATCCCTCAGGAATATCATAAACACCTTCCTGCTCTGAAATCTCTCCTCTGAGACATTCAAATATCTGCTGAGTCCTAGTGAACTCGGGCCTGTTCTTCATTTCCCTGAACCTCAGGAAACAGACACACGTTTTCCAACACCCACGGAATGGACAGGGTGTGATGCATGAACCAGCAGGTACAGAATGCCCCGTGCATTTCAGAGATGCGGTGAGGCTGCCTTCCTGACAATGACCACGGTCCTAGTGGGACTGGAGCACTGACGAAAAAAATCAAGGGCGATTCTGAAGAGCATCATTCTTCATCCTCTTCGCAGGATTGTAAGGGGCACACTAACCCCACTAAACTCTGCATCTGGAAAGTGAGCCGTAAACCAGTCACTAAAGCCCCTCCCCTTTCAGGCTGTGATCCTCCCCATAGCAGCAATTGTCCCCTAACCTCTCTGTGGTCCCTGTTGAGGCAGAGAACCAGGCAACAAGGCAGGTGGCTGGTTTTCCAGAGCTCCTGAGCATGGGTTGAAGCAATCTCTGTCACCTTAAGAGCCCTCTCTAGTTCACACACTTAGAAAAACATTGCCAAGTACATATAGATTTCTTGGATCATTTTCAATTACTAAGGGAAGGTACCAATTGTTAAAGAAAAGTAAAAAATGCCCACAATGACTGTGAAATCTTTTCATTCCCCACTCTTTAGGTAATTTGTTCTGATTGCAACTCTTTCAAAAGATAAGATTACACACCAGGGAAGCAAAAAGATGAAAAAGGGAAATCTGTGTCCTGCTGGGGCCCTCTCAGAACTCAGCTCATGTTTGGAAGCGATGGCAATTTTTTTTCAGCCCTAATGAAACCTCGTTAACTGTGAACACGGGGCCTGCACCCATCTAGTGAGAGGACTTGCTGGGTTACTGGGAGGTCGTTAGGAGGTCATTGGTACATTCAGAGATCACTGCCATTCTTGTCTTTTTTCCTTAAATATTTACTAAAAACTGTCTTCATTAAGATATAGAAAGAAGATGGAAGAACAAAATTGAAGTCCATCCTCTCTTTCAGATAGAAATCCGTATCACTGACATTTATAAGATTTAGACTAAAATATCTGAGTTTTCAAATCTTGTTTTCTTTTTCCCCTATTTTGCCAATTCTCTTTCACAGTCAGCAACTCTCTTGTCCTACTGGGATAATGTTTTGACAATGGTATGTAGGCTAAGGGTCTGCTATTTTGTTCACAAGAGATAAATTGTTGTTACAGTTACTGTGGGAAGCAGCAGACCAATGACCTTGAGGACTCGCCAGGAAAAGTAGTGAGCCCTTCTGTGTGTTCAAATGATATGGGCTCTACTAAGGGTAAACATAAGGCAGGGACATGGAGCTGGGTACTTCCTCTGTTTCGAGGAGGGGATGGACAAAGTTATAGCATTTGATCCACCACTGGATTCTTGCCTTGGCATTTAATTCCCACCTAACTGAACACATCTAGAGCAAACACAGAGCAAAGCACTGCTTTATACAACTCTGTTCCAAGAGTAGGCAAGAAAAGAGCTCAAATGCAATAGCTAGATGTTCTATGTCACTGACTTTATTTAGGGATCCAATACAGTCTAAGAGAGCTTAAAAACCCATGTGTGATATCGAACAGCCTGCATTAGAGAAGGCAATGCAGAGCTGACCTGGAGCACAAGTACACAGTTCCAGAGCTATGGCCCTTAGAAAGGAGTGATGATGGGAAAGATTAAGATTCCACTCCCTTCCCCCATCTCCCCAAGACGCTTCTGCTTACATTTTAGATACAGAAAGCAAAGGATAGAAACTTACACCCTCTAAGATTCTCTCTAGATTCACAATTCTTTGAGTACAGAAATAAGCCTTAACATGAGAAATGTGCTTTAGATCCGGGAAGGATACCCATGGACACAGGTGTGCCACTGTTTATTTGATTTTTGCCCCATATCTTTTACAGAGTTTAAGTATCTAAGTGAGATTTAGTTAAATAAAAATTGATATGTTTGTACAGAGTATGTTTACATAAAAGGCATTGCTGAGGTTTAAATTTAAAAAATAAGAAACTTTAGGTGGGGAATGTAACAAACAGCTCAGTGGTAGAGCATTTGCTTAGCATGCACCAGGTCCTTGGTTCAATCTCCAGTATCTCCATTAAAAAAAAAAGGAAGGAAGGAAGGAAGGAAGGAAGGAAGGAAGGAAGGAAGGAAGGAAGGAAGGAAGAAAGAAAGAAAGAAAGAAAGAAAGAAAGAAAGAAAGAAAGAAAGAAAGAAAGAAAGAAAGAAAGGAAGGAAGGAAGGAAGGAAGGAAGGAAGGAAGAAAGAAAGAAAGAAAGAAAGAAAGAAAGAAAGAAAGAAAGAAAGAAAGGAAGAAAGAAAGGAAGTAAATAATCTCATTTAAAAAATTAAAATTTAAATTTTTTTAATTAAAAAAATTTTTTTAAATAAAATCTTTAAAGTAATAAGAGAGATTTCAGAAACACCAGTACTGGATTTTTTTATTTTACAAATGAAAGATCCCAGCAAGACTCAGAGGTCTGTTCCTTCCAGGCCTGGCTCTCCTGAGAGGAGACTGGAAGCAGATCCCAGGCCTTGAAGCCAGCACTCTTGCCTGTGTGGTGTGTGGCCACCCAGGTGACAAGTCCCATCTGCCTAATGAGGAAACAGCGTCACCTAGTGGCAATTTATCCGTTTTCTAAGTGAGCTGTGCTCCAGCTCAATGCAAGGGAATGAAAAACAGCTCCCTTTCCCATCTCTGATGTCCCTGATTGCCCAAGACAATATTTCTGGATTGTTTCCCCTTCTTTAAATTTTCCAAGACCCAAATATCTCCCATGGCGGTACCCTTCCATAACCCCTTTGCCCACTGGCATCTTTCAGTCTCTTCTCGAGCCAAACTTTCAACACAGTCATCAGGAATCATCCTCCTCAAGGACCATAACCATCAGGCTGCTGTCCTTTGAGTGTTTCTTGATCTGAGTTTTCAGCAAAATAACATTTTTAACCACGATTTCAGGCCTTTTGCCAATTGATGTGTTGAATCAAAGAAGTGTTGTCCTTTCTTACAAAGATCTGGATTATGCTTTTCATTCAGCTATGCTGATATTATACTTGCATTTCCCCTCCTACCAACAAATTAGAACACTTTTGTTGTCTGACATAATTCTGGGTGTTGCCCAGGACAGTTCTGTGAACAAGTATGCAAGTTAATGTCAGACAAGTACATCTATTTATTCATCTTTCATGTTCTCAACTATTACCAATCTCTTACTATGTTCCCCTTCCCTCAAGACCCAAATTTTGGAGATAGAACACAAAATACATCAACAAATAAGTTTCTTATATGATGAATGTTCTGTTTTAAAGTAAGTTCAAAGGGAAAGGAAAAAGAATCATTCTGCTGTGGTTAGAAGAAGCTGCACAATAGAGAAATCATTGGACTTGAGTTTTGAAGGTAGTCAGGCCTTTGTTTTGTGAAGAAAGAAAGATGGGAACAGCATGCAACATGGAGGAACAGTAAGAACAAGGATCCAGAATCAAGAAAGTACATGTGATAAAGGATCAGCAAACAGTCGACTGTATTCACAAAATAAGGGGCCCAAGGAGACAAATGGGAATTGATGCACAAGGCAGTGTAGGATTAGAATACAAAGATGCTTTAATGTCATCCTGGAGAACTTGGACTTTACATGCAATAAGATACCATCATAGCAAGGGGGACAGCAAAAGACTGTGTTTCGAGGTCTCCAGGAAGTGAAAGTACTGTATTCAGTCTAGCCATCTTCTAGCTGTTTTCTTCATTTAAAAAAAAAAGAAAAAAAGCCCCCTCACTGAACAGCTGGTGGAACTGAGGCCCCACACATGAATTATTTGCCAGTGTTGGGGCAAGATCTCAGAACTGTTGGCTCCCAATCCATTTCTTTGTAAGAAAGACAGCTAAGAGCATGAAATATTTATTAGAAGGATAAAATAATTTTAAATTAGAAACTTCCTGGGTTTTCTTCCAATTTTGTTCCTGTATAAATCTTCTAAAAGTACATTTAAATATTCATAATCGTCCTTTTTAATCATCTCATTGTCATTCAACGTGAGCCCGCTTTATAAATGAGAAAATAATTTGATAGGCATTCTATTTAAAAGCACTCATAAAAGAAATAAAGACTTTTCGGACTAAAAGATGTGATAAAAGAGAATAAGGCAAATGTAAACCACTGTGGGCTGAAGAGTAAGGGAGCAAGAAAGATCACCTTAAGCATCAGAAAAGCAGAGTTGTGTGTAGAGAAGTCTGTTTCCATTGGCTTTGTGAAGGCAGCAGTCCCATCGATGTCAGAGGAAAAGATAATACACTAGTAGGGATCATCAAAAGACAGTCTTGGCAAACAACTCTAACTTGGTAAGCTAGAGGCCGGTGTTTCTTTTGAAGAACTTTCTGTTTCTGAACTTGGCCCAGTGTTTCCTATTTCTACTTTGGTTACAACAAGGAGAGAATCTTGCTTCAAGAGACCACCCCGCCACTCCTGCTATTATTTCTAACTATGTTCATTCAAGCATCAGGTTTTACAAAGCTCTTCTCCATTTCCCATGCCTTGGCAAAGATAATATAAGATATGTGTCTGAGCTGGTATTTCTCTTCAAATGAGTAGCAGATGTACTTCGGCCAGTGTTGTTTTCACAATATTTTACGTCGAGGTCGACATTCCATCCATTAAGTGAACGCTCAGTGGGACAATGTGATAAGAGAACAAAATGGACAGCCAGGCTGCTAAAGCTGCCAGACCACAAAGAGTCACTGGACTCACAGCTTCTCCTTGGTCCAGCCCGACAGTCAGCTCATAGATTCAGGTGGGTCACTTCTAAATTCTCCCAGAAGAGTGGTAGCCGGGTGGACCACAGGGAGGTGGGAATGACCCAGGGCCAGGCTGCCTCCTCAGCTTCCCACTCTCTCGAGCCAGCAGCCCTGCCACTCTTCTCTTCTCGGAGCTGCCTCCAAAGCCTGGAGCTCTCAGAAGCCGGATTAGGTAGCTGTCAGCCTGGGGCCATGTTGGCTCCCGTCTGTCAGTTGTGAACAGAGCCTTAAGCCCAAGGAAGTCTCAGCTGGAGAATCTCTTCTCCATACCTGGCCTTCCAAGAGAGGGTGTCTGCTTTGTGGTTATCACTGCCTAATAAATGAGAAGTGAAAACTCTCAGCATTCATAAAAGAAAGTGGGACTGAGTAGACTGAGGCTGTCTGTTGAGAGCCCTGGTTCCAGATGCCAGCACACAGTAAGGCAGAGATGCCAGACCTCCAGGGCGACAGTGCCAAGGTTGGTGCCACAGCTAAGTAGAATAGTTCACCTTCATTGGGGCTCCCTTTTGTGAGACGCATGTGTGGGAAATGATTTCAACTGAACAACTGTTAAAAAAAAAATCAAAACATCAATGGCCATCTACCACGAGCACTGCACTCCACAATCATCCTGGTCCTGCTCTTATGGAACCTACAGGTGACAAAGAGCAAAGAGAGCTAGTCTGCTCTTGGGAGTGACTCAGTAAGGGCCTTCCAGAAGAGCTGATATTTAAACAGAGAAAAAGAGAAAGGGGTAGAGGAAAGCAGGGTCCTTATGGCATAGAAACAAAGGGAAAAGTTCCAGAAACTATTGGATGTCTTTGACTGACCCAGGCAGGACAGCTGTTCTGGAACAGCTGACATTTTGTCTTTCTATTATTATATGACTTGCTTAACTTTACAAAATGTGGCCCCCAAACTCTACTGAAGCCTGACTAGCACACTTCTCAGGGGCAGTCTAGAAAGGGTATTATAGTATCTCAGCTATCTGTAAATTCTGGCCTGCCATCTGATTTTATAAATAAGTTTTATGGGAACACAGCCACCCCATCCATTCACATATTCCTTACGTTGCTTTTGCTCTACATCAGAATTGAAGAGTTGCAAGAGAGAAAATATGGCCCATAAAGCCTAAAATATTTACTTAGTAACCTGGTTTTTCATACAAAAAGTTTGCCAATGCCTGCCGTGGCTGATAGACACCATGTGAACCAAGTTTGTGAAATATTAGTCAGGGGTCCCCAAGTAGACTTGGTGGTCACATGCCAAACTTGAAACTTGAGACAGCGTAGGACAAGCAACCTCACAGAGTCACATGTTGGCTCTAAGTGATGGGGGGCCGGATGAACCCCATCTATGAGCTGGCATCCACATATCCGTGGAGCCCATCAGTTTCAGACTCAGAAGAGTATATTCCATTTTGCAGAAAAACAGGCCAAGCACCAGTGTGATTTCACAATAGCACTCTGGACAATGGATTGATTTTTCTTCCTTTACAACGGGAAATGCTTTCCTATGTGGGCCCAGCTTGACGGGAATCCCTAGCACCATGGGTTCAGAGAGGGTGGAAGCTCACTGGAGCAAGAAGGACCAACGATGACAAAAGGCGAGGCTGTGATTCTCCATAAGATGGCTGGGTCATCAGAGGGGCAGAGAGAAGCACGGGCAGTTCATGATAAAACACTGACACAGTCTTCCCACAGACAGTTGGTTTCCTCCAGCAGGAGGTGATTGGGTCCTTGCCAACCAGGAGGTAGAAAGCAGTCTGATGGATCAGACCTTGGTTGATGACACCACCCAAGTCTCACACTTCAGTGCAATGGGACACACTTCTTTCTGAGGCTAAGAGCTGGGGTATGATTAGGGCAAGAGCCAGTGGAGTGAGGGAACTTCCAAGGGCTAAGCAATGAAAAATGGACCCCTTGCCCAGCTGAGGCTGGCCACCCAGCATGATGATGGACACCTACTGTGGGTGTGAAAAGGCCATGGACATTTATAGCCAGCAAGAAAATACCCCTTTTTGAGAAGAAGGAGCAGGAAATCACCATGTTTGTAGAGGGTGCAAAAGAGGGGTCAAGTGGGCTTTGACTCACAGAACGTGAGTTTTGGAAAGGCTGGGAAGTTCTGGGTGTTGAGCCACTCTCTCAAAACTTTCAGGAGGTCTTTCCAGGGCTTTACCTGTGGTCCCAGCTCGCATCCTATTCTCACTTCCAGGTTCCATGCCACAGTAGTGCATCCACTCCCCCACAATGGAGACTGTGGGTGCTTCTTGTTGGCTGTCTCCTGCTAGGTTGAGCCATGGCATTGCGTGGTCCTAGGGAACACTTGTCTGCCCTGTAACGAAAGGCGCTGATAAGTCCCAAAAGCATGAGTTCCATCCTCATCTCCGGCTGCCAGTGGCTGCTATTGACACAGGAGGCTGGGTACCATGCCCCCTGTGTTCCCTTGAGTGCTTAGCAGTATGAGGAATAAGCTGGTATTGAAGGTGGACCCCCAGCAAGGAATGCCACAACAGCCCAAGGACAACACTGCAGCCACAGGCAGTAAGTTAGGACAAATTCACACAACTGACAATTCAGGGATTGAATGTCCTCCTAGACACAATGAGAGTCTGGGTTGCCAGACCAGGTCAGGTAGGGCCAGCAGTGATGTAGTACTGGCCCCCCAAATCATGGAGCTGAGAATGACCCAGGGCCAAACTGAACACCCAGCAGGCAGTCAACGTGAAAGAGCAACTGAAATAGACAAGGAAGAAACATGACCCTTAAATATCCAAGGCAAGAGGTTAGAAAGCAGAGAGGCTGGATGATGCTGGAGGACAGAGCTAGGATAGAGCCCCAGGGCTGCTGGTGCACACCTGTGGCCTTCTTTGTAGGTGAGCAGGCAGGCAAACCAGATGCCTGGGTGAGTCATGGTCTGCTAATCTACCTGACATCTTGGGTGTTAGTGTGAGTAATAAAACTATAGTTTCTAGGTGGGTATGTTACACAATGTTGGACAGAGTTCTGGGCTGTGGCCTGGGCTACCTGAGACCTTTCCCTCCTTACCAGGGACTGTACCTGTCTCATTGAACAATTCTGAACCTAATCTTCATGGTCTCTGATCTAGACATTTGGCCTTATGGGGAAGCTTCCTGGAAGACGCAGTCAAGAATATCTGAAGGTCACCTGCAGTGAGCTGCTTGGAGAAGTGCTTTCTATTATTGAACAGTCATATTTTCACATCTGCATCCAAGGTTCAGATTTTGTTGATGAAAAATTCCACACATATTTAGTATAAAAGGCTTTGCAAAAGGAATCAGAACACCTGATTCAGGCTCCAACTTCCAATCTATGGTTATTTCCAGAGCTAACACCCTACAATTATTCATAAATCAAACAGTATATCATTATGTAGCATGCCGGCAAAAGGCAGGCCCATGTGGGCTTGTACATTCCCCCTAAAATCAATTATTAATGAAGTCTTTGGCTTGAGGATGCTGTATGTACAAGGATTAGTTTGGTACCCACAATGTAATCCTCTGTTTCCATGTACAAATCAAGGCTATTTTGATCAGAAAAGTCTTGTTAAACATGACTGAAAGGGTGCAGCGTTAATAACCTACTACTCACGCTATTGTTTTTCTCTCGATCCAAACTGTCCCTTTCTCCCTTGTGCTATGTCATGCTTGTGGTCCACGCTTGCACTAAACATTCTCTAATTCACTTAGCTCTAAATCAGGCATTATTTATTTATTTAGGTTATAATTCAGGGAGAGTCATTTCACACTGATTTCCCGAACTGGCCCCAGCTTTGTTATTAGAATAATAATGAGAGTTTAGCCAGTGTGAGTAAATTGGAAAACTTGATATTTTAGGTGAGACTCAGAAATGTTAACTAGATTGTTTATGGGCTCAGTGTGAAGGCAATTAGTTGAGTAACAGTATCATGCATTTTGGCATTTCTTTTGTCAGAAAAAAATCACTATCCGCTAATGGTACAAAAAGTTCTCTAGTTAGACGTTCTGTATTCAGTCACAGGCAGCTTAGGGCTAATTTGGACCAGCCTTCCCAGTAGACTCTCATTCATCAAGACTCCACAATATGAATGTATAGTTACTTGAATTTGGTTAAGATGCTGTTAATTTGGTACTGTCAGTCTTCCATATCTGCAGATGCGGGACCTGCGGATACAGAGAACCAACTGTACTGTGACATTTTAGACAGGGATTTGAGCATCCACAGATTTTGGTATCCCTTGGATGTCCTGGAACCAGTCCCCTGAGGATGCTGAGGCATGACTGGTGCAATCAAGTGCCCAGGTGATGGCAATACTAGCTAATAGTATTAGAGAGGCTTCTTGTGCCAGGATTGTCTAACGCCTTGAAATAACCTTGGTTAATCCTTACAACAACCCTATAGATGCATTCTACTACACTCCACACATGTGAAAACTGAGAAGTTAAGTATATTGTCTCATAAGTAGTAAACCCAGCCAGCCTAGTTTCAGAACCCCAGAATTACTCCAAGTGCTTCCCTCACACATATTTCCACTTTGTTTTTTGTAGAGAGCCTGTTACAGCTGGATTTTAGCATAATTAGAGACAAAGAGAATTTATTCATGTTTACCACCAGAATCAGAGGACCTTGATGTTGGAAGGCTCCTCAGAGACCGTCCAGTCCAATCCCTATCACGTCTTCCCAACGGAAGAAGCCACGCCCTCTCTGCTCACCCACTTTAGAAAGCCTGGCCCGATAGAAGGCATCCTTTCCTTAAGGTGAAATCTACTTTTCTATAATTCTACCTGCTGGCCAGAACTCTGCTCTCTGAAGCCATGATGAAGACCTTCTCCTGGTAGCCTGCAAACAGACACCTGGAAGAGCAATTATGCACCATCCTAAATCGCATCCTTTTGGGCTCCTAGCCCATCACTCAAGTACCACTATTCCAATTCTCCTGTCACTCTTCACTGAGCTAAGTTTCGGCCAAATCCCATCTGAAATGTAGGGCCTGGAAACAAAGACAGTTGTCAGAAAGCCTGAAGATGTCGCAATGATTGCCCCAGTGACTGTAAGACACTTTTCTAGGTGCGCCCCTAGGGGAGACCACCCCTAGGGGGTCTAGCAGCCCTACAGCCCGGCTAGCAGCCATGCAGCTCACTCACCTTGGACTTGTGGTCCACCACTAGCCCAGAAGGGCCTTTTTTCCCTATTAAACTCATCAAATTGAGTCTTCCCCATTGTATATTTTTAAAGGCAGAATTTAATATTTATCACTAATGAATGGATGTGTCCTCCAGTCCAAAGAGTGGCAAAGACAGAGACCAAAACAGAGATAGAGATGACTCTGCATTCATTTCCTGGCCTCCCCTCTGAATCTTTTCTATGGACAATAAAGAAATTCAATAAGCCTGTGTGCCACAGATATAATGAGTTATTTTAGAAGGGAAAAGGAAAAAAAATAGTATTCGCAGGAAGCTAAGCTGGACCCTAAAATATAAAAATGTCAAACCAAAGGGAAAGCTCCAACAGCTTTAGAGCCTGGGGCTACTTCCCTATGCCACTTTCCCGCTTCCCTTGTGGGAAAGCGATCAATCAGATGCTATAATTTCAAACATTTGTTGAAACAACAGTGAAGCCAAACGTCACTGAGGCTGTTTGGGGCATACAGGTCACTGTTTTGTCACAACATGACACCATTTCCCTGAACAACAAGTTGAGCCTGAAACTCACTAATTGACTGTGCCAATCTCAGCCAAAATTCCAACTGAAAAACAAGGCAGAAAGTTAGGCTGACAGAGAATAAAGGATGCCTTCATGGCATTCACAACACCAATGAATTTACGGCACCAAAGGAAGAGAACAGTTATTCACATTTTCAGACAATTGTTCTTTATGTTGCATAAACTTTGTTTAAATAATTCATAACTACAGAATCAAGATCCCACACACAAGCTACAATAGATTTTATCTGTGCATACCAAAGGGGGTTAAAATATTTGAAGTCATGTACTCAGAGATATTTTTCTTTTTCCTTCCAAATCTTTTCATATTCTGTGTCACAGAACAGATTCCAAGTTTAAAAATCAACAAATAAAAAAAAATGGGACATAGGTTTTAAATAATGCAAATAAACCATCTCACACTGAGCACACCTCCTCTCCTCTTCCCCTTCCCCCCTCCTTTTTTTTTAGCTGCAAGATGGAACTGGCTTGTTGCAAAGCGGAGAGCTAACATTAGATTATGCTGTTAGTGGGTTTTATTCAATGTTTTGAAGTTCAGTGAGACAATATGAAATGTGAAAAGAATATTATAGAAAAGCTTTTACTACTGTGTTGATTGAGTTAAGACCTTAGATGTCCGTAACACCTACTCTCCCCAAGTGAAAGGGAAACTGAGTCAAATACAGTAACATTTTGCAAGGACATTTAAGAGGTTTGCAGAAGAATTATAATGAGAATCTGTTGTTTTCTGACACCTCACCGTCTTTCCTCAAACATTTTGAATAAGGACTTCGGAAAGCTTAACATTCCCTTGCCGTAATAATAAAAGGAATGAGATTACCGCTGCTGGTGAGCTAATGATCAGAAAGGAGTTGTGGCGCAGGAAGGAGGCAGCTTTTCCCGGGTGTCCCACAGTGATATTGACTACGACATCAATCTCCTTAGCAAAGATGGACAATCTCTGTTTTCTGTTTCCCCGAGGCACAAAGGCAGTCCTATCTATGCCATTTCATTGGTCACAGGAATAAAAGAAAGAAAAATGAGGTTAGTACTTAACACACATGATTTATTGTAATCAATTTTAATGCAGTACCCATAAATGTAGGGAGAGAAAAAAAAAGGAAAACTGTTTTGCTGTTATCTAGAGAATTTAATGATCATTACATTGGGGAAAAGGCATACTGAAAATTCACAGTATTCAACAAAAGGGTTAGAAGCAAAAGACTTTTTCCAAGAATAGTCTGTCCAAGGGCAATAAATAGATCAATCAGAAAAAAGAGCAATGTGCATATATCTGTTCCTTCTATTTAAGGTTATCCAACTTTCTGTCCTCTCTTGTTCTAGCCTTCTTTCCTCAACTTCTATACCTTCTAATTCCACAGGGTCGTGATTTTCATCTTAGATACATTTTGAGTCTCTGGTCTCTGAACGCTATCCTAAAGATGCAAATCAGAAGCAGATGACCAGCTCAGTTAGTGAGCGAGGTCTTCTTCTTTTTTTTTTTTTTTAATGAATTTGTAAACCCCAAAGTGGTAAAAATATGTATACTGTTCATCTCATATTTACCAAATATCTTTCCCTGAGATTAGGGACTGTGAGAAGTTTGGTTTGCTGTCCATATGAGTTAGGAACC